CCGCTCCACGCCCTATCTGCAGCACCGCCACAGGCTCCCTGACCTGCAAGCCACACTGCGACGTATCCTGACTGAGGAGGACGCCTCACCACAGTGCCAGATGGACCGCATGATTGTCCGAGAGATGTGCAAGGAATTCCCGGTGCTGGGCGAGGCCCCCAGCTAGCACCTTCCTTTCCACCCTTCCCTGCAGCCCTGGGCAGGGATCAGGGGACTTGGGGCTTGGCCCTAAGAATGTTTTGCACTGACAGTATTAGGGGATGTGGTGGTGGAAGGGTCTTGAGCAGGGCCCCCCACCTGAAGTAGGGCTGATGTGAGGGGCCAAGTTCAGGATTGGGGACCACGCTCTGGGAACAATGCTGGGGCAAAGGGAATTTGTGAAGCTCCTCCATCTCCCGTTAGGCTGCCTCTTCAGCATGTCCCCCTCCCCCTCCCCCATATACACATGCACACTCAGAGTCCTGCTGCTGCAACAGGCTAGGCCAGAGTCACCATCCCCAACCTGTCTGGTCTGTGTCCTGGGCTTCAGCAAGCCATGTCCTTGGGGTGAGGGGAGATTTGCCGCCAGCTCTGTTTTTTGCCTTAGCTTTGCAGTAAGTGCTGCTCATGTGCTTCCCCTACCCCCGTAGGGGTTGCTGTCCCTCGCTCCCACCCCCGGGGGCCTTGACCAAACTGCTGCTTTGAAAGCAGCATCTTGGAGAAAGGCCACCCATCCTTGAGCCTCACAGAATGGGGTGATGGCACTGAGAAAGCCAATGATAGATTCTATTTTCTCTGTAAAAATGTAGACTGAAAAGCCATGTGTATTTTCCTATGTGCTGCAGCTCACCTTTGGAAATAAATCATAGGCCTCTGGAAACATGCTTCCCTGTATGATCCTGGGTGGTGGTAGGAAGGGGATGGGCAGGGGCATGGGGCCTCAGCATCTCCTCGTTAGCTTGCCTTGACCTCTCCACCCTGAGGTGGTGGTGGTCCCTGACAGGCCTGTCCTTCAGAGTCCCTTGGGCCCTTTTCCAGCCTCTTTCCTTGAGTTCACATTTCTGAGCCACAGCCAAGCAGTGCCCTGTGGTCCATTTGCAGGTGACTGCCCCTTCAGGCTTCGCTTAAAATCTTTCTTTGCCTTGAATGCCATCTTTCTCCCCTATTGAAACTCTACTCCAGCCCTGGCCTCTCTGAACACCTGAGGCCTGCCCAGCTGTTTTCCTTATTTATATGTCATGAGGCCCAGCAAGATCCCTCATTTTTAGCTTTGGCAGAAATTTGGTAATTGCAGGAGGACAAAAAGAGTATGTAAACAAATATGGGGTTAGGTTTGCACTACTGTTTGAGAGGAATTAGGAGTCACTGAGCAAAAACTTGCCTTTCCTTGTGGTCTCCCAAGTTTAAAAAGCTTTTGCTGTAAGTGAAGGAGGAGAGTCAGGAACCCACTGCCAGGCACCAACCAGTCAGAGTGGTTTTCATCAGTTCCTTTCACACCCAGAGCCCCTGATACTATGACTTGTGGTCACACCTTTTATTTTCTAATTGGGGTGCTGAAGGCAGAGGGCTTTCTCCCAACAAGACTAAGCAGTGAGCACAGAGAAGCCCGGCCTAGAGATAGGTCCCTGGGAAACGAGTCCTTAGGAAGCTGAGGCAAGAACATTTGACAGGGAGCTCGTGGGAGCAAAGCACAGGAGGCTGATGGGGAGATGTCCTTAACTGTCCACTCTCAGGAAAGCACAGAGGCTCACCTGGTCCTGAGGAGGGGCTGACAAAATGTTTGGTCCTGGTAAAAGCTCTGTAGTACAGCCTGGTCCACTTCTCTTCATCCTGGAGGCATGTGCTCCTCCCTTTCTCATCCAGAATCAGCGACTCCTTTCTCAGTGCAGAAGGCAGAGAACCACGATTCTCTCCCTGCAATAGTGTCATTCAGTGGAAAGCGCGGGTCCTCGGGAAGCGGGGGCAGGACACTTTTCAGCCTCTGTGCCTGCTGGGTCCCCTGTGATGCACGCGCTGACCTCGTGGGAAGAGCAGGGCAGGGCTCTCCGGCGGGACCAGGGCTGGTACTCACGGGCAGTGTGGCCCGCCGGTGTCCACAGGATTGTCCAAGGGGCCGTTGCGTCGGTTTGTAAGGGAAGCAGATGCTCCACCCCCACGCCCTTAGGAACCCAGACCGCGCGCCGGGCTCTGAGCGCCGACCTTGGGGGGTCCGCAGATTCAGAGATGGGAGAGCATCACCCGAGCTCAGCCGCCGGCGCGCCGTAGTCACGTGGGGCGCCCGCGGGGCGGGACCGGCGGGAACTCCGCCTCCCGGAAGCGAAGTCAAGAGGCCAAAGAGAGCGCCGTCTCATTGGTTGGTGGTGATGTCACAGTTACCGTTTGGGGCGGGCCAGAGGCCTTAGGTAGCGGTTCTCGGCTGGTTCCAAGCAGAAGCCGCGCCCCTTGGAGTGTTGCGGGCCCCAGTCCTGACCACCGCCCCCTCCCCCTCGGCCCTGGGACACCCGTGCCCTCTGCATGTGGCGCTGCAGCCCATTGTGGCTGCTGCCTCTGCAGACCGGTTGGTAAGAGTGTCCCCTGGATTATCTTTCCGGCTATCCTGGAACTTGGGGAGCCCCCTCTCCCCGGACAATGAGTCCGCCGTCGGGGGCAGAGCCTCCCATTGTGCGAACGGAGACGGCGACTTCCTGATTGGAGCGCTCTGCGTTCACCCGTCGGCCCCGCACGTCTTCCGTGACGTAGGTTTCGCCGCGTCTGCCCATTGGCCAGACGGTACCGACTGGCGTCAGGAGTTGCATAGCGCGGGGAGAACTGGATTGAACGGCGGGAAGATGGTTGGGCTTCCGTTGGTTCCATCAAGGGGTTTAGAGACGCGGTCGTAGCGGGCGAGACTCCGGGATCCGAAGAGCCGGGCCCGCATCCGTGTGGCAACGCCGAGCTCCACGTGGCTTCCCAGAGCCCTCCAGACCCGGGACCTGGAGAGGGGGCCGTAGCCTCCAGTGGAGGATCCCCCCCATCCCTGGGAGACTACAGGGGGCCTCAAGGCAGGGAAGAGTTTGCCTCTGCTTCCGCCTCGGGAGGGTCACCTCCCGTTCCTGCTCCGAAGGGGCGCTCCAAACAAGGAGATAGTCGGGACTTTCATGATTTAAAACTCACTGATCTAAGAGTTAAAGCTATTGTTCCGGCTGCTGGCGCCCCATGTCCCCCCCCAACCCCC